TAATGGTTCCTACATTGCTGATTTCGACACCGCATGCAGGCTGCCTGGCTACGTGTAAGTTGCCGAGCGGCTGCAGTCTTCGCTGCGTGAGGTGCTGTCCTGTGCAGCACGTATGACTAAACACGGACCTCAAGACCAAGGATGTCCTGTTCGAGAGACCCGCTATACCATGCGATACTCCATACCGCGAAAAACACGGCCTTTCGGCCAATTTGGCAACCGAGGTCTCAGACCTCGGTAGGCTTCTCTGCCCCGGAGCCGGCGGGTCCCGATCCGGTAAGCAGCGTTGGGGCCTCCTCGGGCTTGAAGCGCTGGGAGTGCTCGCCGAAGGCGTTCGGCTTGCCGGAGTTCTCGTTCTTGCCGTAGGCGACCTCAACTTGTGGCACACTCAAAAAACAAACCCGAAATATTTCTGAAGATGCTTCAGCATGTTTGAACCCTATCAGCAGGCCTCGGAGTGGCAATGGAGATCGACACCTTCCAGCACCGCGTTAGATAGGTTTAGGGGTTTGAGTTTAGGCTGTGCGTGTCTTTGTGTGCTTCTTCGCGCGAGTCATGTGAGCCCCGGTGCCTTCCAGCTCTTGCTCCTCGCTGACCCTCATGCGCATGACGAGGCGCATCAGGAAGAAGATCACCGCGGTCACGGCTGCTGAATAGAACACACCGAAGGCTGCGCCGGCCAGGTTCTTCGCCAGCAGCAGGCCGTCGCCCCCGTAGATGAGGCCATCGCCTGTGTCGAAGAAGCCGCCAAGAATGGCACCTGCGAAGCCTCCCACGCCATGGAGAGAGAAGCAGTCCAGTGAATCGTCCACCAGGTTCAGCTTCTTCAACCCACGAGCTGCAAAGACGCAGCAGATGGCTCCAATGGCGCCAACGCCAAGAGCACCCAGGGGCTCCACGAAGCCGGCGCACGGGGTGATGTTCACCTTAGCCGATGCAAAAAGAATTGATGGACTTCTGCTACATGGCAACTTCCAGAAAACTAGTGAGGCCATTGACAGGCAGGTAGCGAGTCCAGCCACCGCGCCTGACATGGCGCCGACAGATGTGGGAGCTCCATCGAGGATGCGCTCGACGGAGACCCACGTGATCATGGCGGCGGCCGCCGCAACATACGTGGTGGCGATGGCCAGGGCACAGTCGCCGTTAGCGGCGAAGGCGGAACCACCGTTGAAGCCGGTCCATCCCAGCCAAAGGATACCTCCGCCCAAGATGACGAAAGGCAGGTTGCTGGGGAAGGACTCGGAACGGTGCTTGCGCTCCCCCAGCAGTGATGCCAGAGCAATCGCTGAGGTGCCCGAGCTGATGTGAACGACAGTTCCACCGGCAAAGTCCTCAGAACGGGAGACAACAACATGTCAAGAGCAAGGGGCAGCTATCGGGTACATGATGGCCTTTGCTATCATATTCGGCAGACTCCCAGTCCTTGGCGCCCATCTCGGCAATCCAGCCGCCGCCCCAGATCCAGTGGCAGAGGGGCACGTACACTGCAAGGACCCAGGCCACGATGAAGATAGCGTAAGCCGAGAAGCGGATGCGCTCGACCACGGCCCCAGAGATGATAGCAGCTGCTATGATGGCGAAGGTCCTTGCGTCTACTTTACTTCAGGACAAAACATTATCGCATCTACAGAGCAAACGCAGCCACACGAAGCTTCTTGAAAAGTGGGATTCTGGATTGAGGCCAAGGGTCATCTGAAACACTGCAAAGGTCATTCCTGGCATGGTGGTTCCGGACCACACCGCGTCGAGGTTGCGGAAGCCCACATAGGTAAAGCCCTTGCCTGCACCCCACTCGTCAAAGGACCAGGTAAATCCGAACACCAGCCAAGTGATGGTGGTCAGTCCCATGGAGATGATGCTCATCATCATCGTGTTGACGATATTACTGTCTCGCACCAGGCCACCATAAAAGAATGCTAACCCTGGCGTCATGAACAGAACCAATGCACAGGACATGGCCATCCAGGCGGTGTCACCGTTGTTGAGGCCCTCCATGCTTCCAAAGGGGTCCCTACCAGGCGTCTACTTCTACCTTGGAAGTTGCCGTGCGGCGCCCTTCAGCCAAGCGGCAGCCAAGCTCCGCTGCATCGCCCTAGAGCAGTAGTCCGTGTCTCCAGCTTTCTCGTTGTGGGCCCAGCTTTCAACGGACTATGTAAACATCTTGTATACACCCCGTCCGGACCCTCCGCAACAACAACGGAACAGAAACAGCCGCAACTGGACCTAGAATAACGGAAGCACAGAGAGCAACACTCATCGTCTTTGTCAGGGTCATCGATATCCTTGTCGATTGTGTGCGATTGTGTGCGGTTGTGTGCGTGTGCGTTGCGTGCAACAAGAGTGGAACTGGCTGTCATGTATGAACCTGATTAAGAAACCCTGGTCCTACAGCCTCGAAATATTACGATCCGTTCAGCGAACCCTGATAGAGACACAAGGTTCCTTAATCAGGTTCCTAATGGTTCCTACATTGCTGATTTCGACACCGCATGCAGGCTGCCTGGCTACGTGTAAGTTGCCGAGCGGCTGCAGTCTTCGCTGCGTGAGGTGCTGTCCTGTGCAGCACGTATGACTAAACACGGACCTCAAGACCAAGGATGTCCTGTTCGAGAGACCTGCTATACGATGCGATACTCCATACCGCGAAAAACACGGCCTTTCGGCCAATTTGGCAACCGAGGTCTCAGACCTCGGTAGGCTTCTCTGCCCCGGAGCCGGCGGGTCCCGATCCGGTAAGCAGCGTTGGGGCCTCCTCGGGCTTGAAGCGCTGGGAGTGCTCGCCGAAGGCGTTCGGCTTGCCGGAGTTCTCGTTCTTGCCGTAGGCGACCTCAACTTGTGGCACACTCAAAAAACAAACCCGAGGTATTTCTGAAGATGCTTCAGCATGTTTGAACCCTATCAGCCGGCCTCGGAGTGGCAATGGAGATCGACACCTTCCAGCACCGCGTTAGATAAGTTTACATAGGGGTTTGAGTTTAGGCTGTGCGCGTCTCTGTGTGCTCCTCCGCACGAGTCATGTAAGCCCCGGTGCCTTCCAGCTCTTGCTCCTCGCTGACCCTCATGCGCATGACGAGGCGCATCAGGAAGAAGATCACTGCGGTCACGGCTGCGGAATAGACCACACCGAAGGCTGCGCCGGCCAGGTTCTTCGCCAGCAGCAGGCCGTCGCCCCCGTAGATGAGGCCATCGCCTGTGTCGAAGAAGCCGCCAAGAATGGCACCTGCGAAGCCTCCCACGCCATGGAGAGAGAAGCAGTCCAGTGAATCGTCCACCAGGTTCAGCTTCTTCAACCCACGAGCTGCGAAGACGCAGCAGATGGCTCCAATGGCGCCAACGCCAAGAGCGCCCAGGGGCTCCACGAAGCCGGCGCACGGGGTGATGTTCACCTTAGCCGATGCAAAAAGAATTGATGGACTTCTGCTACATGGCAAATCCCAAACAAATTGCTGTAAGTGTGTCGCGTTGTGTCGGCATGGAGACTTCCAGAAAACTAGTGAGGCCATTGACAGGCAGGTAGCGAGTCCAGCCACCGCGCCTGACATGGCGCCGACAGATGTGGGAGCTCCATCGAGGATGCGCTCGACGGAGACCCACGTGATCATGGCGGCGGCCGCCGCAACATACGTGGTGGCGATGGCCAGGGCACAGTCGCCGTTAGCGGCGAAGGCGGAACCACCGTTGAAGCCGGTCCATCCCAGCCAAAGGATACCTCCGCCCAAGATGACGAAAGGCAGGTTGCTGGGGAAGGACTCGGAACGGTGCTTGCGCTCCCCCAGCAGTGATGCCAGAGCAATCGCCGAGGTGCCCGAGCTGATGTGAACGACAGTTCCACCGGCAAAGTCCTCAGAACGGGAGACAACAACATGTCAAGAGCAAGGGGCAGCTACCGGGTACATGATGGCCTTTGCTATCATATTCGGCAGACTCCCAGTCCTTGGCGCCCATCTCGGCAATCCAGCCGCCGCCCCAGATCCAGTGGCAGAGGGGCACGTACACTGCAAGGACCCAGGCCACGATGAAGATAGCGTAAGCCGAGAAGCGGATGCGCTCGACCACGGCCCCAGAGATGATAGCAGCTGCTATGATGGCGAAGGTCCTTGCGTCTACTTTACTTCAGGACAAAACATTATCGCATCTACAGAGCAAACGCAGCCACACGAAGCTTCTTGAAAAGTGGGATTCTGGATTGAGGCCAAGGGTCATCTGAAACACTGCAAAGGTCATTCCTGGCATGGTGGTTCCGGACCACACCGCGTCGAGGTTGCGGAAGCCCACATAGGTAAAGCCCTTGCCTGCACCCCACTCGTCAAAGGACCAGGTAAATCCGAACACCAGCCAAGTGATGGTGGTCAGTCCCATGGAGATGATGCTCATCATCATCGTGTTGACGATATTACTGTCTCGCACCAGGCCACCATAAAAGAATGCTAACCCTGGCGTCATGAACAGAACCAATGCACAGGACATGGCCATCCAGGCGGTGTCACCGTTGTTGAGGCCCTCCATGCTTCCAAAGGGGTCCCTACCAGGCGTCTACTTCTACCTTGGAAGTTGCCGTGCGGCGCCCTTCAGCCAAGCGGCAGCCAAGCTCCGCTGCATCGCCCTAGAGCAGTGCACTGTCATAGACTGCATGTGCTACATTTGTCTGTGTTGGTCGCCAAGCTGGGATTTCCTCTAGCTCTCTCGTTGCTGGCCCAGGTTTCGCCGGACTGCGTTTCATACATCTTGCCTACACAGTGTCCGGACCCTGCGCAACAACAACAACGGAACAGAAGCAGCCGCCATCAGGCCCAGAATAATGGAAACACAGAGCAACACTCATCGTCTTTGTCAGGGTCATCGTTATTCGTTCTCACCGCCACAGTCACCGGCGTCATCATTCTCATCGTCATCATCACTGCCACCGTGGAAAAAGCTTCTGCAACGAGACTGACGTTATTTGCCATCTACCGCGCTATCATCACCAAACTAGGCCTGAGAGATTCCAAGGCTCCGGCAAAGTTGACCAAGTGGCGGAAGTGAAGCTGCTTCATGGAGTGGCACCTGGGACGCAAAAAAACACAAATACGGGCTACTTCCGACACTTGGGGCTTGGCTAGACTAGAACCCTATGTTCCTGTTAAGCACATGATCCTTGATCTTGCCTGCAGCTCATGCAGCGACTCAGGTTGTTGGGATGTTTGGAACTCAGGGGGTCGTTTAGATTCAAGGTTCACACGAACCCACAAAGTTGGAAACCGGATTAGGGCCAAATAGTGCTGGGATTCCCTATACATTGCTCTTAACGATTGAGGCTATTGGGTTTCCAACTTTTGGGCTTCCACTGTACTGGTTTGCGTCGCGGAACACGAAGCTCATCATTGGGGGGTGGTTTATTAGCCGGTCTTTTAAGTAACCAGGGAGAAAAAAGTATAGACTTGTTTTCATAATGGTTCCATTAAGAAACAAAGTATTAAAGTATAGTACTCCAAAGCCCAGTTAGTTTATTGCAAAGCAGGGCCCTCTTCCGGAAGAGCGGCCCAAAGGAGGCCCTGTCGTCGAATTCTTGGGCCTTGTCTACCATGTCTGATCGCACACCTGAAGCCCTAGGTTTAGATTTGGGACACTGCTTTGTGCTGAACTCCTCAAGCTCCGAAAATTCGTGCCGAGGTTGTCACGTGGCGCAGACCTGCCTGTAGACTTCATAGCCGCGACCTTCATGCCAGGTTGGATTGTACCCACAACAAGTAGCTTTGTGTGAACCAAACAAGAACTCCGAGGCAACCCTATCAGAATCAACCAGCTAAACCACGGAACATCTTGTTCCGCTTATGCTGAGTTTGAAACGCCTATATTCGACCTGATCTTGCTGAGACTGGGAGGCAACAAACAACATCAGAGAACACAAACCAAAGCCCCCCCCCCACAGACCCAACCCCAGAATAAGCCCCAGGGCTCTAAAGCGGCATCCGGAGCAGCTCCGACCCCGAAGACCTTCGCAGAAGCAGAGATAAGGCAGGAATGAGCCCCGAAACTCTGAACGAACATGGGCCCTGTCCCTCCGAGAGCCTCCCTTCAACCAATGTAAACCCTCAACTTCAAAGCCCCCCAACAACCCCAACATCCCCAAACCCCAGAAATCGACACACTAAGGCCCGCAAAGCGTAAGCGGCACACGGACGGATGGAATCTCGTGGGCATGGAAGATCGACTTGATCTGAGGCAAAGGACTACTTGGAGGTTCATGGGTAATTAGAAGTATAAGCAGCGTATTTATAAGTACAAACTAATTGTAAACCATATTAGAAAAACCGTATAGTACCCTACTTCAAACCGGGGTTCCCCTAAAATTTGGGGACCTCGGCGAAACCCTATGCCTGGCTTCCCCCTTCAAAAAAACCGGCAGCTATGTCCTGAACTCGAAACCAAACCCTGAAAGGGTCGAAGGGGTGAGAGCTGAAGGGGAGGTGTAGACGCCGGGTTTCGCAAGCATCGAGAACGAAACACCAGCGGCAGCGTTGCCACTACATGTTATTGGTACTGTGCACATTTCAAGATCGCGCAGCACATGGGTAGTTGTCAAAATTATGGTCTCTTTTTGGGTAACCTGAATACTAGGTGCCGTAGTATAATAAGGACCCAAAAAGGGACCATAATTTTGACAACTACCCACATAAATCCCGGCACTCAGGGTTCAGGCTTGAAGGATTGGTAGGGATCGATGTGCCCTTGTAGAGGGCAAGCGAAGTCTAGCATCTTAATGGGCTTTGTGGGGTGCAAGGCCCGAAGGGTATAGTTATAAGGTGTCAGAGTTTAGGGCTTAGGGTTTAGGGCTTAGGGTTTAGGGTTTATGGTTTCGGATTTATAAAGACATACTTGGGCTTGCAGGTATGAGTAGTAAGGGTCAGCCGGGGACAGAGGGTCTATCAAGCCTTAGCAGGTATCTGGAGAGTGTAACAGTGTATGGGTTCTTGGGGAATGGTCTTGTTTGGCTGATACAAGAAAGCTAACCGGAAAGCTGAAAGATCGAAAAGTCGAACTTGCTAATCTCCAAGTTTCGATTCTGCGAGTTTCCGAAGTTTGTATTTCAAAGTTGTCAACTCAGAAAATCCTAATATGTGTCAAGCGAAAACTTAAACTTTCGAATTTTCGAGTGCTCGCATTTTGGATTTTTAATTTGCGAGAGTTTCGAACAATGCTGGAAATTCTAATTAGCCTTGGACAAAAATTGGAAGAGCTGCATTTTGGCATTCGAACTTCAGTGTTTTAGTTTTTTAGATGCTCAACTCAGCAAAACTCTATTGTTTGTCAAGCGAGATCTTGGAAAACTTGAATATTCGAATGTTCTAGTTTTCGATTTTCCCATTTCGCCAATAATTCTGGATTTTGGAAATTTCAGGGTTTTGGAACTTTCGAATGTTGTAAAAACACTGGAACCTGTAATTTTTGCGTTTATGCATCAAGCGAAATCTTCGAAAACTCAACTTCTCCAAAATGTCTTTTTTTCGATTTTTCGACTTTGCCAAGAAGGTTTCGAAATTTCGACTTTTTCGAGTTTTCGGAAGCGCGTCGCATAGTTTGAGTGACACACAAAACCACAGCTTAATAGAAAAAAGGCCCAGAGAGTCGAATGGCTCGAACATGTTCTTATAGGATCCTTAAGGGAGGATGGTTCAAGGGGGGAGGGTATAAGGAATCCTTAGGGGACTGTAAGGGAACCTTAGGGAGTACTAGGGAGAATTAGGGATCACTAGGCTATATACCCCCCTTGGACCCCCCTCCCTTAAGGATACTACAATGTTCGAACCTCAAACGATAGACTTAAACCTTTAAGAACCCGCGCAGGACCCTCAAGACCCGAAGCCCTGAACCGTATAGAACTCCTATTCTAGGACCGCTTAGGGTGACCCGAATTGCAGTTAACCGAACCCAAAACCCTAACTCAACACAAAAAAAATTGAAAAAAAAAACAAGCCCAGAGCTAGTAGCGCTAGCTTCGTATGTCATGGACTCAGCCCGCGGCCCAGAACGGATAGCGCGGAGGATGCGGTGGATCCTCCACCACCCACGAATGAGTGGAGGGCTTGGGTTTCAGTTTTGTTGATTGGGGTTTAGGGTTTCGGGTTTTAAGTTCGGGGGCTTGGGGTTTACATGTAGAGATATGTAGAGTTCAGGGTTAGGACATGGCGGGTCAGCACGGAGACACAAAACGGCCAAAGGGTCTCTCCGAGCATCCAGAGTCGAAAACCAGAGAAAAGCCAGAAAGCCATGAACCCCTAGCCCTAAAATAGGGGCCTTAATAATTAGGATAGGGTTTTGGTGCCTATTATACTATAACTACAATAAGGAACCCCCCAAAGTAGTATAGGTAATTATTTAAGCCCCTGTATTAGCCCTAAATCCTGCTGCAAAACCTGCAACCCTAAACCCGAAATCCTTGAACCCTAGCACTTAAAGGACCATGGGGCTTAGTAACTAGAGGGCTCCTTAAAGGGATCTATAAGGGTTCCTTAAAGGGATCTATAGGGTTTAGGGTTTAGGGGCTACTTAAAGGATCATGGGACTTAGTAACTAGGATTATAATTAGGGTAACCATACTTATAACCACAATTAGGGTACTTATAACCTTACTTACTAAGTCCCATGATCCTCCAAGCAACCCCGGAAGCCCCGCACCATGCTCCTGGGCTACCGGGACACCGCGGACTCTGTTTCACCCCGTTTAGGGTTTAGGGATTCGGCGAACTTACGGTTTAGGGCTTAGGGTTTCTAGGGATTCAGGGATTTAGGGTACAGGGGTTAGGGTTTCGGGTCTAGCTTTGGGCGAGGGTTTGCTTTTGGGGTTTCAGGGTCTTGGGTGTGGGTGTCCGGCCAAAGGTTCCAGGGTTAAGCGGCCCGACCCGAAATCCATATGGGTAGTTGTCAAAATTATGGTCCCTTTTTGGGTCCCTAATAGAGCACGGCACCTAATATTTAGGGTACCCCAAAAAGGGACCATAATTTTGACAACCACCCATATCGAACGTTGGAACCAGTGGCATGAGAAACTCGCGATATATCCTCAGAAGACAATTTAGTGTAAAGCCCTACGAGAGCCCCGCTCGCAAGCAGCTTCACGACAGGCATAAAGGAAAACCCCAAAAGCCCCATACACCCCCAAACCCCGATAAACCCTAAAACCCTAAGCCCTAAACCCTAACCCTAAGCCCTAAACCCTAAGCCCCATACACCCCTAAACCCCCGATAAACCAAGTTGACGTCCTTGTCATCGCAGCGGCTCGGGTGTCCCACAGACACAGCCAGGGCCGCTGCGGAAGTGGCGGCCGCGCCCTGCCCGTTCCAAGAATCTCAAAACTAGTGGGTGTAGGGTTTAGGGTTCAGGGGTTTAGGGTTTAGGGGTTTAGGGTTTAGGAATTTAGGGTTTAGGGGTTTAGGGATTTTGGAGTCCTAAACCAGCCGCTTTTTCCGGAGAGTGTGATATGATAAGGAAGATACATCAGATCAGGACTTCAACGGTATGAGGCTCCTCGCAGTGGCTTCAGGAACACTAAAGAGCTCTCTGGGTATGGTGTCTCAGACTTGAGGATCCAACGGTCAGCGTAAAGTCCTGGAGACCAGGCTAAGAGTAATACAGAGGCCTTGATGATTCGAATGGGTGTTCGGGGTATGCCAAGTTTTCTAGGTACTTCAAGCGGATACTAGTATTGAGTAAGTATTAAGTAAACCCTAAACCCGAAACCATATACTATGGTGCGGGAGTTCGAAACCTAGCTTGAGTTCTGCAAAGCCTCGGATGACATCCTTTGAGGGCACGACGAAGACGGCGGCGAGTTTAGGGTGGGTTTAGGGAAAGTGGCAGCACGACAAATCAGGATGATCCTTCATTCTTCAGCCATGGAAGCTATGTTCAGCCTCGTCCTCATCATGATCCTCATTCCCATCCTCACCATGATCATAGCCGTCATCATCATCACCATCACCATCATTTGTCCATCATAACTTCACAAAGCCCCGAAGCCACGGCCAAAGAGCCTTTCAGGTACAAAACCCGAACAAAACATCTGATCCCCAGGCCCCAAGATCAGAGTCTTGGCAGTTAGAAAATGATGTGGCCGAACTGCAAAAGGTTAAGTAGACAGGAACGATAAGAGGATATGTTGCGAATTTGTCAGACCTCAATATGAATTCAGCGGTCCTGGAGCAAAAGACAAACCCGTAAATCTGGGATTCCAACTCCCTTACGTGGCCTCTATACTATCCGCCCCCTTCCCCCCCTCTCGCACCGCGGGGCGGATCAGGCGTCTCCAAGCCATGTCTCTACTTCTCTCCGGCGCTTTGGAGTCCAAACTCACCGATCACCGGGTTCTCGAGCCGAGGACGGTCTCAAAGACTCATCGCAGCTCTATTGCCTAGGAAGTAATATGGGCAAATTGAGGTCCCTTTCAGGGCTCCTTAAATTAGGGATCTTTAAGGGTTTCCATAAGAGTAGTATAAGGGTTCTATATTAGGTAGGGAAGTAGGCAAAACACGTGGTGTAGAAGGTGCCGATGAAGGTAGCCATAACCCCGACAAAGTGCCCAAGAGCCGTATGGGGAAGACCTCCTGTGGTTCGAGAAGGCTTGTAAGAGCAGGACTTTTTGGGCTTTCGGGGGCTGCAGGCTCCGCGGGCTTCGGATAGGTGTAGGGTTCAGGGTTTAGGGCCAGCTGCTGGTAGCGTTTAGGGTTTAGGTTCTTAGGTTGAGGATTCGAAAGGCTTTTTGGGGTTGCAAGGGCTTCGAGCTCACTGGGATTCATGAGGCTTTACAGTTCATGTAGTTTGGTGCTTCGTAGCGTTGAGTAGGGTCTAAGGGGAAGGCGTCTATGGGTTCGACTAGGGTTTTGAGCTGCGTCATCCTACAATACTCTAAAGACCGTGGGGGTTCACTCGAGGCTACTTAAAGGATCATGGGACTTAGTAAGTCGGTTATAGTTGGGGTTATAAGTCCCCTAAGTGGGGTTATCCTAATTATAACCTACTTATAACCTTACTTACTAAGTCCCATGAGCCTTCAAGTAGGTTGAGGGATCGAGCGGTTAGGATTTAGAATCTGAGGTTTAAGCTTCAGGTCCTGTCGCTTCTCTGGCAAGCGAAAAAACATCTCGTAGGGTTTAGGGCAATAGGATTTGGGATTTCGGGTTAGGGGATGCTAGGATTTTAGGGATTCAGGAGCTTGCAGCGAAGCAGTTCTGCACACCAAGGTCAAACAGGCCAAGGGTTTCGGGTGTTTGGAAACTAGGCACTTGAAGGCTCATGGGACTTAGTAAGTAAGGTTATAAGTAGGTTATAATTAGGATAACCCCACTTAGGGGCCTTATAACCCCAATTATACCCTAAACCCTAAACCCTAAACCCTAAACCCTATAACCTACTTACTAAGTCCCATGACCCTTTAAGCAAGGTGTGAGGCTTCGGGGCGCAGGGTTCCAGTTTGACGGGGCATGCCGTGTGTCGAAGACTGAGGATTTCGGTTCTTGGGATTTGGAACATGGGATTTCGGGATCACGGTTTAGGGTTTAGGGGTTTAGGGTTTAGGGTTTAGGGTTATTTCGGGATCCATCGCTTTCATCCTTTTTCCAAGTCGCCGGGCAGTCCAACAAATGCGAATTCAGCTGGTACAAAGAGACAAGCCTACCATATCCACCCGGCCGACCCAGCACACTGCTGATAGCGCTAGACTGGGTGCTCTACGTATGCTCTAATTACTAACCCTCAAGTGTTCAAACAACGTATTGCCCCTTGTGCCAAACATGCGGCCGGAGCAGAATGGACTCGGAATGACTGGGTCATTGTCTTCTACTGCATGAAACGTGGCCACTCTGCTCGGGATCACCTCGCCTCAGAAGGTTTAGTGCTTAGGATTGAGGGCTCCAGTCATTCTGAGATTATGATGTAAAGCTTAGGATTGAGGATTTAGGGTTTCGGGATTTCATGAGATCGAAAACTCAACACATGAATTGAAAACTTTTTCCAAAACCCTAAACCCCAAGAGCTATGAGGTCATGTGTCCCGCAGTGCTCTCTTGGCTTTCGCGCCTGGCCAGCATCTCAAAGACGTAGCACACCTTCCCAGCATCCTGAACTCGAAGCGACGACTGAGTCTCCAGACTCCACGAAGCCACCCGAACCCCGGAGAAGCCCCGAGCTAAACACTTTGAAACAATAGTACATAATAGTTAGTATAGTTACTATATCGTTACATACTATAGTTATAGTTACTATATAGTTATATACTAGAACCCTGGATCCTTGTCCACAGAAGCCCCGAGCTAAAGTCTTTGAAACCTACGGGTGCTACCACTGCTCCTCCTAGTGCCATTGCCAAACTACGACCACAATTCGTGCCCACCACCGACGACGACAACACCAACGACACCGACGGACGAAATCGACGACGAGCACAGCGACGACGACGACGACGACGACGATGCAGGCGTACTACGACGATGATGACGCCGACGATGGCGACGATGACGATTCCATCACACAAGCCTGTGTAAACACTACTCTGGGAATAATGGTCGGCATCATTAGCGTAATGACTTTTGCGAGCGCATATTACTGTTCTATGCAACCGCATGCATACACTGTTCCCGTGTCACGGAAGTCTTGCCGGAGCCGTCATCACCTTGGTCTTGTGCGTAGATAACTAAGTCTTCTTCATTTAGCTTTGTTGCTGCTTCTCCCTGCACTGCTTTCCTTTGAAGTATTCGGCATTGTGAGCGTGATACTTATGCGGCGTACTATTTGTCGTGGTGTCGCTCACCCGAGTAAGCCTCTTGTCGGTGCTATGGCTGCATTGATCATACCCACACTTCCTAGGATTCTAAATGCTCTTGAAAGCCGAGGAAAATACATACATATATATATATACATATATACATATATATATATATATAACATATATATATATATATATGTATATATATATATAGACATACACACACACACACACATACTTCTGAGCCGTTGCTGTGGTTGCTCCTGTTCTTGTAATTATTGTGTAGAACGGCCAGGGTCATCCTCATGATCAGATACCAGCTTATGGCTAACATTCTCCGATGGCGCTGATGTTATTCTGTCATGTTGCTACTACCGTCGTTGTCGTCGGCGCCGGCGGCGGCGCTGCTGCCGTCTGTTGCTGTTGTGGTATTGTTTCTGCTGCTGTTCTGCTATTGTTGTCTGCTGCGGATATGTTGGGTTGTTCTGTCATTGTGCTGTTGTTGCTGCTTGTTCTGCTGTGGTTGTGCCTGATGCTCCCCGTCGTCGCAAGAGTATCTCCGACGTGGGTTTAGAGTTAAGGGTTCAGGGCTTAGCTCGGAGGGTTTGAGGATTTCTGGCTTTGGGCTTCAGGTTCAGGGCCTTCGAGACTCAACATCGCACAGGGCCTCGAACTCTGCATCGTCCTCGAGATCTGCCTCCGCAAGTGCTGCTGGGCTTCGAAGTCTTGATGAAAGGCTTTGGGTTTGGGCCTAAACCCTAAACCCTAAACCCTAAACCCTAAACCGTTGGTGCTTAAGGTTTAGGGCTTGGGGTTCAGGGCTGCCGGGTTATGGTTAAAGGTTTAGGGCTGAAGGCTTCAGGCTCAGGGTTCAGGGTTTGTTGGGTTCAGGGTTTAGGGTTTAGGGTTTAGGGTTTAGGGTTTGTTGGGTTTAGGGTTTAGGGTTTAGGGTTTAGGGTTTAGGGCCATAACCCCAAACTAGGATGCCGAGTAGGAGTTTATGCGGCTTTACGGGCAATTGGGGTGAAGCCGTTTAATAGATGAGCTGATTTGGTTTCGCTGCCCCTCAGTTGATAATCTCATGGCGAACATCGAGATTCAATTCATGGTCCTACAGCATCTGCTATTAGACTAAGGAACATAAAGCACAATACTGTTCGGGAGCAGCTAACATGAGAAACCCACATCCTGGCTTTGGATTGAATGGAACTTCCCCAAAGCCCGGAACCCAAATCCGAACCCGATCCCAAACCCTAAACCCCTGAACCCAAATCCGAGATTTCGATCCCAAAATCATCAACCCAAAACCGGAAATCCCCGACCAACAGCCTCTAAATATGTGGGAGTTTCCTAAAATTAGAGATACCTCATTTTGGGGTCCTTAGAATAAGGATCCTGCTATTTAGGGTACTATATTAGGGTCCCCTAGTTTCGGAACCCCCCCATATCTTCGAGATCCATAAAATTAGTGCTAACTTTTTGGTCCTTATAATAAGGATCCTGCTATTCAGGGTGCTATACCAGAGAAGCCCTGGGTTCAATCACTCAACCGCCAGGGCAGACCATGTCCACATCATATGGCCCACACAGCTCTCTCCGCTTCTCCTCAGTTGGTGCAAGATGAGTCCCAGTTTTTTTGTGCTGTAGGGCCTTTGAGACGCAGAGGGTTTGGGATTCAGGGTTTTTTCTCTTTTTGAGCGCCCTTTTCCGCCTATCCCTGCTGTCCGAGATCCGCGAAAAAACCGTTTCGGCTGAGCGACATGGCCAACCCTGCATTATGACGGCGTGTCCAGGCCCAGCTCCATAGCAACCCTTTGCACTTCAAGCAACTCCTTGGTAGACTGCTCCGCACGGGTGTGGGGTTTAGAGCGGACCAATTGCATTATGCCATATGGGAAGGGTGAATTAAGTCGTATAGCAAGCCTTCTACTGTGCCGTACAATCAGACTGTATTGTGTCAATAATATTGTGACCGCAAGATCTTCTAAACCCAAAAACCCTGACTCGCCCCAACCCCCAAACCCGCCCTAAAACCTAAACCCGAAGAAAAGAGCAAAGCAATAGTTACAACACGAATACATAAAAACAACCGCAAGCTGTCATACACAACCATGCTGATAACACCGTTTCAAAACAGGAATAATTATGATAATCTTGAGAACCCAAATGCCAAACCTCCCATGCCCCTCAGCCCCTGAAAGAATAGCTCTGTAAACCATGAAGCCTGTGCCCAACCCTCGGAAGCCCTCAGCATCTGGTTTAGGGTGTGCGGATTCTGGTGGCGAAGGGGGTTCTGGTTTTTGAGACTTCTGGACTTTTTCTAAGGGTGTTGAACCCTTGCAGTCCGTAGAGAATCCGACCTAATGGCGAGGGTGGAAAAGGTCTAGGGTTTTGGGTCTCACGGGCTAGAGATTTAGGGATTAAGGTTTCGTTGTTGGGATTTGCGGTTTAGGGGCGTTTAGGGCTTGGAGTTCGGGGTTATGAGGGGCCTGGATTGTGAGGCCCAGAGAACTAGAACAGGGCGCCGAAGCGCGTCATGATGCTGAGTGTGGCGGCATGAAACACGAATCTTGCGTCAGTCTGCCTGTTGAGGCACAGGCCAGTGCCAGCATGGGCGCAATGCTCATTGCGTCCAACATCTCCTTGTGGTAGGGGACCACCTCAGGAGCCACGGGGCGCGCACAGGGCTTTGGCTGTTCGGCACACCTTGAGAGGGGTCTTGGGGCTTGCAATCAAAAGAAGTTCCCAAAATCCCGCAATCCGTTGTGACCATCGACAAGACGGAAAATCCCATCGCGACCTTTCAGTATTTTATAGAGAACAACGTCCTGCAGAGATCCACAAACTCAATGAAGCCCTCCATTTTCAGATGCACCATTGTGAACCTCCTGAGAGCTTTCATAGAACCCGCGATAAGGCCCTTAACCCCCCCAAAAAAAAAACAAAAAACTGAACCCCGAGCTCTAGAATTGCACAGCTCTGCTATCCAAGACCTTTGCAATACATATTTTTTATCATAAAGTATCTATTTAGCTCTGAAAACTACAAGCCTAAACCCCAAGAGCCCGAACCCCTGACTTGGGGGCCAGCCTTTGTAGACATCTAAAAGTTCTGCAGCTTCAGCGTGCTGGAGGTTCAATGCTTGGAACGGGGTATAGGGTGTAGGGTTTGGGTTTTCTTCTGTAAGAACCTGGCTTGTTGAGAACAATCCACCTTCAGTGTTTGACGATCCTTCTCTTTGAAAGACGAGGCAGTAGGTCAAGACACGTCTTGATTCAGATCTGCGCAGGCAGGATGCTGTGAGTAATACAGTCGTAGTAGTGAAGTGGCCCTTGCCCTACTACCCTAATCCCTGAAACCCTAAAACCCAAACCCCTGAAACCCTAACGCCTAAAAACCCTATAACCCCTAAAACCCCAACCCCTCAAAACCTAACAACCAAAAGCCGTAACCGCGGAAACCCGAACCCCCCAAAACCCTAATCCCGAAACCCTGCTCTGGGTGGATCCCAAGGCCCCCTGCGCTTCGGAGATCTCCAGGCCGAAGCTCGGGATGGCATGATCTCACCGGCTTTGCCTGCCTCTTGCAGTCTGAAGTTTGAGGGTTATGAAAGTCTTGGGGTTTAGGGCTCAAGGTCTTGAGTAGGGCTCAAAGTCTCGGGGCTTAGGGCTCAAGGTCTTGAGTAGGGCTTAAAGTCTTCGGGTTTAGGGCTCAAGGTCTTGAGTAGGGCTCAAAGTCTTGGGGTTTAGCGCTCAGGGTCTTGAGTAGGGGCTTAAAGTCTTGGTGTTTAGGGTTTGGGGTTTAGGGTCTAGGGTTCAGGGTTCGGGAGTCTTCGGGTTTTGGTCTTGGGGCTTCGGTGTGTTGAGTCTTGAGTAGGGGCTGAAGGACTGCAGGGACAAATGATTTGATTTGAGTGCAAGGGTTTATGCTGAGATTCACAGAAAGGTACTCTAAACCCTAAACCCATAACAGCGCGCTCTCTAGATTTAGGGGTCTAGGGGATAAGGACTTTCGGTGGCTAACGGCTTAGAAGTACTTCTAAGAGGCTTCGAGGCAACCATAAAGACCCCCCAAAACCCAAAACCCAACACCCGATACAGACCCTGGGCCCTAAACCCTAAACCCTAAAAACCCAACACCCGATACAGACCCTAGGCCCGACTCTCATTCTGGGGGCGGAGGGGTCGCTCACTGCAGCGCACTTGAGATTTTTAGGGTTTTGGGGTTAAGGAGTTAGAGTTTTGGGGTTCAGGGTTTAGGGTTGGGGTTCAGGGTTTACTAAACCCTAAACCCTAACCCTGAAGAGGTTCAGGGTTTTGCTGATAGGGTTGAGAAGTTTAGGCATTCAGGAGTGTTCTTTAGCACTTGTTTCCAATCGCTATCTTCGAGGTCACAGGGTCAAGGGTTAAGGACCAAGTTATAAACTGCTACATAACCCAGGTAGCACCCACCCTTCCCGACTGCAGTTGAGGGTGCAGGGCTACAAAATTGCGTTAAAGCCATTGTCATCCACGCCATGATCGGCTGAAACCTTGCTGGACACTTTAGAGCAGGGGTTGTGCCTCTACCGATTCTGGTGGCCTTGAACACTGCACCCTCAGCCCTACATCCCCCAGCTCGCTCATTTATGTTATGGCTCTTAGTGCAGCGGCTTGTCAAAAACTTGATTTGGGATCACAAGCCCTACGTCACCCCACCATCGTCCTCATCCTAAGCATCGCCATCATCGTGTTTGAGATCGTCGTAGTGACCTTGGGTTTCCACTTGTCATCCTGGCCACCATGCGGCTGTACAGAGACACAGCCTTTAAGTCCCACAAGAGCGTTCAAACCGGTCCATCCCAGCCAAAGGATGCCTCCGCCCAAGATGACGAAAAGGAAAGACTCGGAACGGTGCTTGTGCTTACCCAGCAGTGATGCCAAAGCAATCGCCGAGGTGCCCGAGCTGATGTGAACGACAGCTCCACCGGAAAAGTCCTCAGAGCGGGGGACAACAACGAAAAGTCAAGATCAGGAGGCAACTACGGGTATATGATGGTGTATGCTATCCGATTCTGTGGACTCGCAGTCCTTGGCGCCCATCTAGGCAATCCAGCCGCCGCCCCAGATCCAGTGGGAGAGGGGGACGTACACTGCGAGGCTCGAGGACCCAGGCCACGATGAAGATAGCGTAAGCCGAGAATCAGATGCGGTCGACCATGGCCAAGGTCATAGCAGCGGCTATGATGGCGAAGGTCCTTACATATGGGTCTGGAATTAGCTTGGCAGCCCACTGGTTGTTTTTGTTTGTGTTGTTTTTTGTTGGTGGCTGGGGGCTGGGTTCTCTGTATTTGTTTCTTTATGCTTCATTAGCAAAAACCTCAAGTTTTGGTGCCGGGGTCACTTAGCCACGAAAAACCGCCGGGGTCATGTAGCCACTCCGACTGCGCAACGTCTTGGGTCACTTAGCAAGCAAATGTAGTGGCCACCCGGCCACGGGATTGAGCTTCAGTGTGCAATCTTTTTAACACGCCCCTTCATTTGGCGATGCAGTTCATCACATATCTTAAACACGCCCCTCATAAGTGCTTCCGGTTTGAACGTATATCTTAAACACACGTATCTTAAACACACCACCTCATCTGGCGATTCTGGTTCATCACATATCCACAACACGCCCTGTCATTTGGCGAATCATCATATATGCACAGCGTCTCCCCTCATACTGACAAACAGGTAGCAAACCGCTCGAAAGGGACTAGAGAATCTAACAAACAGGTAGCAAACCGCTCGAAAAAGACTAGAGACTCGACCAGAGAATTCAAACAGGTAGCAGACCGTTCGAAACGGACTAGAGAATCTGACAATCAGGTACAGCAAACAGCTCGAAGAAGACTAGAGAATAAGAACCTAACAAAAAGGTAGCAAACCGCTCGAAAAGGACTAGAGAAGCTGGCAGACAGCTAGCAAACCCCTCCGAAAAAAAACCTAGAAAATCTCACAAACAGGTTGCAAACCGCTCGAAAGGGACTAGAAAATCTGACAAAAGGGTAGCAATCCGCTCGAAAAGGACTAGAGAATCTGATACAGGAAGCACACCGCTCGACAGGGACGAGAGAGTAGACTAGGGAATTTAACAAACTGGTAGCAGACTGCTCGAAAAGGACTAGAGAATCTGACAAAAAGATAGAAAGCCGCTCGAAAGGGACTAGAGAATCCGACAGATCTCACAAACAGGTAGCAAACCGCTCGAGAGAGATAGGAGAATCTGACAAACAAGTCGCAAACCGCTCGAAAAGGACCAGAGAATGGACTAAAACATCTGACAAAAAGGTTGCAGACCGCTCGAAAGGAACTAGTATCTGACAAATACGTAGCAAACCGCCCGGAAGGGACCACCAACAGTAGAGAATCTGACAAACGGGTAGCAAACCGCTCGAAAAGGACCAGAGAATCTGACAAACAGGTAGCAAACCGCTCGAAAGGGACTGGAGAACTTGGAAACAGGTAGCAAACCGCTCGAAAAAGACGAAAGAATCTGACAAACAAGTAGCCCAGAGAATCTGACAAACGGGCAGCAAGCCCTCGAAGGGGGACGAGAGAATCTGCCAAACAGGTAGCAAGCCGCGGCAGACCACTCGAAACGAACTGATTCTCTGACAAACAGATAACAAATCGCTCGAAAAAGGCTAGAGAATCCGACACAGGTAGCGAACCGCTCAAAGCGGGCTAGAGAATGTGACAAACAGGCAGCAAACCGCTCGAAAGGGACCAGAGAATCTGACAAACAGCTAGCAG